AGAGTGGCAGTTCTGCTTTGCTCACTGTTACTGCTTCTGATATCAGTCCAGTTTCACACAACTGAAGATTATCCTGGTATAATACTCCTTGTCAAAGCAAACATTCCTACAAAGGCAGTGGAATCACTGTCACAGTCAATAAAATTTGCTTGCATATCTATGTTCTATAATGAACACATTTCAACGACATTTCCTACATCCTTATTACATGTATTTATTATATTTATATGACTGACATCCAGAAATAGCAGAAAATTCGTCCTCTGACTTTACCTAGCTACTTTACAAATACATTAGGTAGCAGTGCATTAAAACACATAAACAATGAAATGCTTGTTTAAAACGCAAAGATTTTTTTAAAAAGGAAAATAAAACCAACATGCTTGCTTAAAGTGTTTTAAGGTACAATCAGTTTAGAAAGATCTGTGCCATGGGTTTCTTATCCAGGTTTACCTTAGAGTAAGTGCTGTTTACAAGAGACAGAGGGTGAGTGATGTAAAACAAAAAGAAATCACAGTTTTTACTGGTTCTTTCTTTCTCTCTTTCTCTTTTTCTCTTTTTTTTTTTTTTTTCCCCTTTCTCTTTTCCTTTCTCTTTCTCTGTCTTTCTTCGTCTTCTCTTCCCCGCAGCTGAGATCACTTCGCTGGAACACATGTTCACGTTCCGCGGAGTAGAAGCTTTTATCGCTGTGCCCTGCTCCTGGGCTGCTCGGGCCCCTGGGGAGGGGGCACCGGGCACCGGGACCGCGGGGCGGGGGTGGCGGGGGTCGGCGAGCGAGGGGAGGCAATTTGTTTCAGATTAACTGGTAACATCTCTGGCCAAACAAGTGGAGGGGATCTCCCTCGTTTGGCAATGCAATGTGCTCCCGACGGCGCGGGGAGAAGGCAAGATCAAAGCATTCCTTCCGCGGAAATTGCACCCGGGGTTGCCGTTTGGTTAGCCTGCCCTAACCTCGGTAATAAATTTCTCTAGAAGAAGGGAGGGTTAAGGAGGAGAGGAGCGGAGGGACCGCGGCACCTGCACGCCGCACCGGACAGCAATGCAAAGCAGGGCCCGGCGAAGCCGCCGGCTTCGAAGGGAGTAACCCGGAGCTGCTCGCTCCCTCCCTCCGCTGCTCAGGGGCCTGGGGGTGCCACGGCCGGTGCAGCACCAGTCGCCTGACCGGCCCGAGGAAACACCGGGAACTCCCATCCGGTCCAGGCAGTTCAGCTCACGGGTGAACCCCCGTGGCTCTGGGGTGGGGACACACAGGCCGGGTCGGGCACGGCAAGGGTGTGCCGCGGAGGCTGTGAAGCAGCCCGGTAGCACCCCAGCAGTCCCGGCCGCTGGCTGCCGCTCCGGGCAGCCGTACCCGCGGGCTGCGGGGCGCATTGTAGCGGGGGCAGATGGGTGCACAGTGGCATGTCGTGGGCTTCGCTGCCTTCCCTCGAGTGGAAATCAGCGCCTTTCCCCCGCAGTGCACGGAGTGGCATCTGCCCGCTTTCGCTCAGAGCGAGCACGCAGACAGCGGGACAGGGGGAGCTGAGCGGGAGCGGAGGTCTCCGCTGCACACGAGTGGGAGCAGCAGCGATGGAAGCGCTCTCCGCCTCCTCCTCCCGCATGTTTGTCCAGCCGGAGGACGGCAGAGTCACCCCTCTTTCCCGGAGGGAGAGGAGAGAGAGGCTGGAGAGGAGCGCAAACGCACTGCGGACCCGAGCTCAACCAAGAGGTGCAGAAGAAAGTTGTACAAACACACTTTAAAGTGATGGCCGGGTTTCAGAGTTCCCTGTGGATAAAGTAAACAGGAGGCGAACTGTTTTGTAATTTACTCCAGCGGCCCGCAGAATCGTACTTTGTAATTTGGTGTCGGTTTACAAGCAAAGGGGACTTCTGTTTCCTAACCTAGCAGGTCTTTTGTCATGCTTGTGCCTTTTAAGAGGGACCCCAAGGGGGAAAGTGGAATTCCTTGGGTATTTGCCTTTTAGTCATGCTTGTAAGTCAAACAGTAGCCGGAGTCTCTTTTAGGATGAATAATACCTGCCGTCAGGGGATGCGTTTCCTTCTCCCCGCTCTCCCGGTGTGAGCACTGGAGGCGGTACGGCCAGAGGAGGACACACGGTCCCTTGGGACAAACGCTCGGCAAACGCTCCCTCCACTCGTCCCTGCAGGTGCCAGCAGTCCGCGGGGCGAGGGGAAGGGCCGCTGCGCGGCCAAGGAGGAGGCGGCGGAGGCTGCGCCCGTCACCAGCCTCACAGCGCCGCCCGCGCCTCGGCCGCTGGCCTGCCTTCCTAAGCGCTGCGAGAGCAGGGTTTTTCCATGCCGAACCGGCTGCGGGCAGCCGGGCCGTGTGTTCACCGTGAGCGAATATTTTGTGTTTATTATATACATGGGTATTGCCGGTATTTATTGTACACACGCTCTTCTCCGAGAACGGGCAGAATGTTTTTTTCCTTTTCGGAGAACAGCGTCGGACACACGTTCCGCGCGCTGGTGGGGAAATGATGCTGTCCCCCGTTCCCCACCTGCCCCCCGTGCCTTTTCTCACCTTTGTTTGTTTCTTGTGGGTTTTTTTTAATTATTATTATTATTTTTTTGTCCTCCTGGGAACACTCTGTTTAAACTCACTCGCTCTTCCCCTGCCCGGCTCAAGTGTATTTCGCCAGCTCTCGTCCCGTGGGAATTCCCGTTCTCACCGACGGGAGCATCGAGCTCCCGCACCCTGCCGGCACGGCCGAGACGTCGTGCGTTACGATCCCAATTGCTCATTATTTTGGGAGACAGAGTGTATTCCCCAGATTCCGAAGAGCGGCCTCCGTCAGGGAGCTGGAGTGGGGGGGAAGTCAACATCTCGGTGCTCGGTGGAAAACGCCACCGAGGGGATATAACGCTGAAAAAATGAACGGGCATTTTCCTCGCCCTAATTCCCGACAGGGCAGGAAGAGAACACCGATTCCGTTGCATTTTCAGGCGCGAGAAAAGCCCGTTGCCGCGGGTCCGGTAGGCGCACAGTGGCACGTCGCGGCCCGAGCGAGGCGAACGACCGCAAACGAAACCCACGGGGCTGTCCCAGCCGTGTGGACTCGGGAGGCTCCCCGATAGCGGGGAAGCCGCTCCCCCGCGCCGCTGGCTTCTAAGCTGGCACCACCACGCGCGTTACTGTTTTTTTTCCCCTTTCCTTCCTTTCAAGCACCATTTCCCCCCCACTATCAGGGATCGAGCACGCCTTTCCCGCTACGGCCGCTGAGCGCACCCCAAGCACCCCTCTGCCCCCCCCCCCCGCTCTTCCGCACCCACGAGCGGGCGGGTGGTGGCTGGCACACGCGGGGGGGGGGGAACAAGGGGCGTGTAGGGGGCGTCTCGGGCCAATCAGAGCGGCTGCGCCCGGCGCTGAAAACGCGGCGGGTCGGGCGCTGCGGGCACTGTGCCGCGGGGCGGGCGCGCGGAGGGCGGCCCGGGTGTCATCCGCGGCGCTGCTGCGGACAGCGCGACCGCAGACAAGTGACGGGGTCTTCCCGACCCGACCCGACCCGGCGGTCAGTGACCCCCCGACGGCACGGCGGCCCGGAGGCTTGCACCACTCCTACGTGCGGAGACCGGGAGTGCCCTCCTGCCTCCGACCGCGCTTGGGCAGCCCAACGAGCTGTGGGGACAGGGAGGGCTGCCTGCACTCGTTCCCCCTGCCGGCCTCGGGCGCTGAACCCGGGTAAGTGCAAAGGAGCTGCTTCCGCGGTGCAGAGAGCTCAAGGAGCTCATCCTGCTGTCCCGAGTGGCGGTAGCGGACGGCAGAGGTGTGTGATGCCCAGGCGTTCCGTATTTGTCCCCTACGTCTGAGCCTGGCGAGCAGACATTGTTAGGACCCTGAAACAAACAGGTCCCTGTGAGGACCTGGCAGATCCGAAAGCCCTGCGCGCTATTCCTCTTGCTCCCTCCGCCGCTGCGGACGCGCACAGGTCTGCGGCAAGCAGGGTCGGGCCGGGGGTGGGGGTGGTGGAGAGAAGAGAGGGAGCGACCGTCGAGGTTCAACTAAGCCCTTCGTGGAGCGTGAAGAATAGGGCCGAGCAGGGATGAGGGGGTGGACGATATCCCAGGCGGGCTCTGCCATGAGCTCCCTACCGGGGCGCATCCCTTCGGGGCTGCTGGGCAGGGCGATTCCGAGGCGGCCACCTAGGAAGCGGGTGCTCCCCGGCTGCCGTCCCGCCGAAGGGACAAACGACCTGACCCTTCTCTTGCAGCTGCGCTGTCGCGGAGCCATGGCTGAAGGACGTGCCACCGCCGACTGGGAGATCGACGTAGAGAGCGTGGAGGGGGAGGCGGCCGAGGCCACCGGCAGCAGCGCCGGGCCGGAGGAGGAAGAGGAGGAAGGCGAGGACGCGGCGGCGGCAGCCCCGCGGCGGGGGGAGCCGCGGAAGCTGAGCCGCACGCCCAAGTGCGCCCGGTGCCGCAACCACGGCGTGGTGTCGTGCCTGAAGGGACACAAGCGGTTCTGCCGCTGGCGTGACTGCCAGTGCGCCAACTGCCTGCTAGTGGTGGAACGGCAGCGTGTCATGGCCGCCCAGGTGGCCCTCCGACGGCAGCAGGCCACCGAGGTAAGAGGGGTAGGGACGGGAAGGGACGGGACGGACGGGGCGAGCACTTCCAGGGCTGACGGGGCCGCCCGATCGCTGTCCTAGGACAAGAAGGGGCTAGCGGGGAAGCAGGCGAGCCTGGAGCGCAAAGCCGTCTATCAGAGGCACGTCCGGACGCCGAGCCTCCTGGCCAAGAGCATCCTGGAAGGTAAGCGTACCCCGCCCCTCCGCGGGCAGCTCTGCAGCACCGGCTGGCAGCGGGGAAACCCTGCTCCGCCTCAAGGAAAACCTGGACCTTCCGCCCGAGCCGCGGCTGCTAGCGGATACGCGTGAAATACAGCGTTATTTCCCGAAATAAACGCCGAATGACGTTAAAGCACGCCGGCCACTGGCTCCGTGCGGCGCAGGCCTCCTGCCCTTCGTGGCTGAGATCGATGTGGCAAAACTCAAGCTGCCCCCCTCTTCCCCCCTCCAATAACGCCTGAAATGCTAGCAACTGTAATTTGAAATTTGAGAGTTACTGTTACAAGCTGACATTCTTTTTACGTGACTGCCCAGCAGCGTTTTGCAGGGCAGGGTAATTTGTTCGAGTGTGTTTTTATCAGCACATGAATAGATAAATTACTATCTTTGGCTTTTTTGATCTGACCTAACACAGCAGCACTGTTTGCAGTTTTATCAATAATAAGATATCGATGATAGGCTGCCTTTTTTTCCTTTTTTTTTCTTTTTTTTTTCTGTCAAAACTATTAACTGCAGAAGAATGAAACTTTAAAGATTGATATTTTAGTGAAAGGGTGTGTTTTTATTCCCCACTCCCTCTTGGGATCATGCCCAAACTTATTTCTGCATATGTTTTAGTTACTTTCCAAACTGTAGTCCTGTAAAGCACTACAATTCTCTAATCTAGCTCTTTTTTTTTTTTCTTTTTCAAAATAGAAAGCACTTTTCTCTGCCTGTGACAGCACAATTAAACTCCTGTCCTGTTAGAAACCTCTTAATTTTCATCTACAGTTCACCATTTAAAAACAAACAAAAAAACCTCTTCTGTATTCTTTCCTCTAATTTATCTTAACTTTCTTTTTCTTTTCTCCTAGTTCTCCTTCGAATTTTCTACCATCTGTAGCAATATGTACGTAGTGATTCATCTTTAGAGAATAGAAAAGGCATCAGCTGTAGGTATAGATATCTGCCTTGGCAATGGGGAAACCTGTGTGAGAGGAATGGGAGTGAAAGCAGGTAAAACCCTGTTCTTGTTACTCCTGTAAGCAGTTCCATTAATTTGATGGGCTTACTTGTCTGAGTAGAGCAAATGGGATTGGACCTTGTTGGTTATATTAAATAAATCTAGGTAGCCTGGTACTTGAATATACTGGAGACTGGCTTTATATCTTTTATTGAAGTTCTCTTTTAGTTCTGAAGAAATAAAATATTTTAATACTTTCTGTATTGAATGTTGAAAATGGATGGTTATCTCGTTAAGCTGCATGGTGGAATATCAGTCATAACACACAGCAGGGTTTTGCACACACACACTGCCTTAATTTTTTTTCCTCAATCTGCTGTTTTGGAATACCTTTTTAAAGTTACTAATCAGCTAGGAGACTACATATGTCAGGGGGGCAGGGTTGGCTTATCTGCACTGAAGAGCTTGTAAAGAATGTGCCTGATGGTTCAAGGAGCTAAGGCTCCGTGACATGGTTTCAGCAGGAGCTGATGGTGTCCACGGTTTGTAGCAAATACTCCGTGCCTGGCCGGACTGGCTTCAAACAGAGCCCTGTTACAAGCACACCAATGTTTTTCTTATGCAGCCTCATTCCTAATGCTGCTTTGTTGTTCTAGGTTACCGTCCTATTCCAACAGACCCTTACCTGGGAGGGAATTCACCCTTGCCACCCCCTGTAAGTGACAGGATGAGAAAGAGACGGGCTTTTGCTGATAAAGAGTTGGAGAACATTATGCTAGAGAGAGAGTATAAAGAGAGGGAGATGATGGAAGCTACACAAGCAGCTGCCCTTTTCCTCCCTAACCGCATGGTGCATGGAGCTGAATACAACTCCTATAAGACAGCCTTCAACACTACTCAAGTTGATACTCCAAACAAGGAGTTTTGCAATTTTTTACCGACCTGCCTTGATCTAACCATGCAGTGTTCAGGATCCAGCAACATGGAACTGATTTCTTCAAATGTCAGTGTAGCTACTACCTATAGACAGTATCCCCTGCCTTCTAGGTTCTTAATGTGGCCAAAATGTGGCCCCATTAGTGATGCTGTCCTCTACCAACAATGCCTATTAAATGCTACTACTGTCCAAGCTCTCAAACCTGGGGCAGGTTGGGATGCTAAGGTGTCACAAAGTCAGGACTGTTCAAATACTGAGCATGACATCATGCCTCCAAAACTGGAAAATTCACTTGTTCTGACCCATGCTCAAGACATTCAGCAGCCATGTAATGAGATACCGTGCCTTCCTCAGGAAGCTCGTGAAAGATCAGCTTTCTCTCCTCCAAAAAGGACTTTCTCTCAGATTTCTAATAAGGATTCTCTGGCTCATCAGGAGCAGCTATTAAGCAAGATCAGCAAAACCAGTACCAAACTTCCTCTCAAATACGCTCCATTTCAATTGATGTTCCACCAAACATTTCCTGATGGGTCAGGAGCAGAGCTGAGAACATCATTTGTGAAAGAGAATTTTGAAGATGCTTCTAAGAAATACAGAGAGTGTGCTATTAAAGAGAACCAAAAATACAAGTTTGCAACAGATAAATGCACAAAAAACTTTTCTGGGGCTAAACAGGCAACAGCAAAACTTCCAACAACAGAGCCACTGTCATTTTCAGTTGAATCCATCCTTAAATGACCTTGTGCAGTTACTAATATCTCTCAGTGAATAAACTATACCTTTAGTGTAGAGAGTTTGTGTGCTTTGCCTTCTGAAGAATTGTTGCCTGCCTTATCTTTTAAAATTTTTTTTTTAAAAGGAATTTCTGCTTTAAATGGTAATTCTATCTCAAAATGATGTGCATAAATATGCATGATTTCTGAAGAAAAAAAAATATTAATGGAAACTGCCTGTACAGACTGTAAAGTGTTATTTTAAGCAGCACTTCAAGCCATTCAATAAAATAAGATTGCCTACAAACATAGACGTATTCCAGGCCTTTTTTGTTTCTAGTATCTCACAGGCGAGTATGCCCTGTTTTCCGAATGTACTTACGCTTTTTTTCCCGCTATTATCCATTTAGTTTCTAGTTTTCTTGGTGGGGTAAGTGGCTTTGAACCTCCAGTAAGTAAAAGAAGGGGTAACAAAGGTACACGTGCGAATTTGCAAGCCTTTTTTTTAATAACTTAAGCAAGGTTTGGATCAGATTCCAAATGCCTTTCTTATTCTGATATGCTGAACGGGGAGTACATGCTAGCATGAATGGCTGGTTTATTCTGCACCCTTCTGTAAAAGCTTCTGTTCCTAAAGCAGAAGAGTTACTAGATTGGATTTGAGAACGGCTCTCGTGAGCTTTTAGATTAAAAGTCAGCATTTTTAAAAAATCAGTTTTTGAATAAAATATTTAATGTTTTTATTGCTGACTTTACTCTGGATTTCCAGCCCCTAGTATATTTTCCTGTGATTCTTGTGCTGGGGTAATTGAAATGACCTTTAGGCTGTAAAAATGACTCACAGAATGATCACTGTTAATGAAAAATCAAGCCATGATCTCTCAGTAATTCCATGCGTTTTGCAGGGATAGCAAAAATAAAGGAGATTAAGCGCTAGAATTTACCTGGGAACCTGAAATGCCCTCAAGGCTGTAGAAAAAAGTGTGATCAGCTGTCATTATGACTGAGCTTGAAGCTTCCTAAATTCCTGATTTTGGAAGTTTTTCCTTGTATATTATTGCTAGTGCATCTAGTGCTAGCCATCAATCCTTTGGTTACATTGATTCCCTAATATTTTTATCCTGCAGACACCGCTCTGCCAATTGAAAGGACATGTGGTATGTTCTCAATTTTTATTATTTTCTAATGAGAATTTCTTTTTGGTATTTGAGAGCAGAATGTAGTATTTTCGTATTTTATTACACTCGCTGGACAGGCTAAATGCTTATTTTGCTACGAATAAACCTAAGCCTGAGATTTTCTGATCCTGTAACTATCTCTGACAGTGTTTACTGTTTCTGTTGGGAGTGCTGCTGCTGAATAGCAGGACCCTTTTCATGGAGGGGAGGAGCTCTCTGTCGTGGGTGATTTTCTAAGCCATTTTCTTAAAGCAACAGACACATTGGAGAAAACGCATTTTATGTAACATTAATTTTTAAAGAGCACATCTTACAAAGCACATAAAATTTTTATGTCAGGAGTCTAAACAAATCTGTTGTAATTTAAAGGAATCTTGGCCACTGGCTAAGGTTTCACTTTCCAAAAGCATTCTTACTAACCAGATTTTGCCTAGCCAAAAATACATCTCAAATACAGTGAGATGCTTTTCATTTTTTTCAGACTCTATCCAGTTGCCATTAGAGGGAGTTTTAACTTTCTTGAGAGCTGAATCCGCTTGTTAATCAGTTTAGTGGTCAGACCAAGCTAAGCAGCTTTTACCCAGAGTAAATGGAGAGAAATTCTTCACATTTCATATCCGTTTGCTTTCACCACAGCTTCCTTCTTTGGCTTAGTTGAACATTCAATGCTAACAAGGGGTTTTAATTTAAGTGGGGTTTCATTTGTTATTAAAAATACAACTTTTCAGTTTTTAAAGCTGCTGGCATAAACTAGGATGACCGATGAAAAGAGTTCAGCAATCTATGTGAGAACCAATTTTGGATACTGGAATTTGTCCTGCATAAATATTTTTTTTTGCCTGACAGTGTTGCATCTAACATTCTTCAGTTTAGCATCTGAAACGTTTTTCCAGGAAGTCACTTGTCTTTCTTTAGCTCTTAAAAAAAAAGGCTAGAAAACCAAAACCCTCCAACAGTCTGGTACCTCTTGACCATTCAAAGAACCAGTTGTACTGAACAAATTCGGACTCTGAAGGTGTACTGAACACTAATATGTATAATCACAGAATTGTTTATGTTGGAAAAGACCTTTAAGACCATTGAGTCCAACCATAAACCTAGCACTGTTAAGTCCACCAATAAACCATGTCCCAAAGTGACACATCTACATCTTTTAAATACTTCCAGAGATAGTGACTCAATCACTTCCGTTTGGAAACCCCAGCTCTCCTTACATACACTGGTCCATGGCAGATGTTTACACATAGAACAAAACAAGTGCCAATTTGGTATAATGATTCCCAAATAAACATATTTATGTCTCAATGGTTACCAGACTTTTACATAAGAAAGTAACATATAACTATACTATATTCACACACTTATATACATAATATATATATGTTTCAGATAGTTTTGTTCAAATCCCAGTCAGCAGGGGTGCCATTTCTATTGCTATCTGAAAAAATGTGACCCTTGAGGTGAAACTTGGACAAATTTTCCTGTACTTACTTTTCTTTCATTTCACAGACCCTGGACCTTACCTCTCATGCATCTTGAAAACATGTTGCACCCAGATAATTTTTTCCTTTCCTTTGTTAAAAAAGTGAAAGACATATAAAGGCTATGCCTCATGGAGAGGATAGTTAGTAGCTTGAGCAAGGTAACATATAAATAGTGTGTGATTTTCCTGACACATCTTTGCAGTGGATGTATAGCACTCTTGCCTCTTTCAGTCATGTGCTTCTCCAGAGCAGTAGTGACTTGTCTGCATGTGCTAGTGCGGCTGTACAAACTCATGGAGAAACGAAGTCTTTGCTCTGAAACTGCCTAGAACTTACTTCTAGGCAGGGTCTCCCTGGCAATAAATCAACTGTTAAAATAACCTATGCTCTCCCATGCTCCCTGCTTCTTAAATACATATTCTGTGGTGTTTGGTTTGTGGACACCTGTGTCTCCTGCACAGAGTGAGTAGTTTTGGGTATGAGATTCACCTTTGTGCTGTACTAATGGACATCAGGTTGCCTATCATAGAATCATGAATCATATAGAATCATGTGGATTGGAAGGGACCTTAAAGCTCATCCAGTTCCAACCGTCTGTCATGGGCAGGGACACCTTCCACTACACCAGGTTACTCAAAGCCCCATCCAGCCTGGCCTTGAACACTGCCAGGGATGGAGCAGCCACAGCTTCTGTGGGCAGCCTGTGGCAGTGCCTCACCACCCTCATAGTTAAGAACTTCTTCATAGTATCTCTAATCTAAATCTCCCCTCTTTCAGCTTAAAGCCATCCCCCCTTGTCCTAACAACACAGGACCTTCTAAAAAGTCCCTCTGTAGATTTCTTCTAGGCCCCCTTTAGGTATTGGAAGCTGCTCTAAGGTTTCCCCAGAGCCTTCTCTCCTCCAGGCTGAACAAGCCCAACTATCTCAGCCTGTCTTCATAGAAGAGGTGCTCCAGCCCTCTGATCATCTTCATGGCCTCCTCTGGACTCACTCAAGCCTGTCTGCATCTCTCTTGTGTTGGGGGCTCCATAGCTGGATGCAGTACTGCAGGTTGGGTCTCATGAGAGTGGAAAAGAGGGGAAGAATCCCCTCCCTTGACCTGCTGGTCACGCTCCTTTTGATGCAGCCCAGCATATGGTTGGCTTTCTGGGCTGCGAGGACACACTACTGGGTCACACTGAGCTTCCCATCAACCAACACCCCCAAGTCTTACTCCTCAGGGCTGCTCTCAATCCATTCCCTGCCCGGCTTATAGTTGTGCCTGGGATTGCCTTGATCCAGCAGCAGAGCCTTATAGTTGCCATTGTTGAACTTCATGATGTTGGCATTGGCCCATCTCTCCAGCCTGTCCAGGTCCCTCTGGATGGCATCCCTTCTCTCCAGCTTGTCGACCCCACACAGCTTGGTGTCATTGACAGACATGCTAAGGGTGCATCAGTCCCACTGTCCATGTTGCCAACAAAGATGTTGAACAGCACCAGCCTTAATAATGACCCCTGGGGAACACCACTTGTCACTGGTCTCCACTTGGACATTGAGCCATTCACCATAATGTTTTAGGTGTGACCATCCAGCCAATTCCTTATCCACTGGATGGTCAACCTGTCAAGTCAATATCTCTTCAATTTAGAGACAAGAATGCCATGTGGGACAGTGTCAAGCACTTTGCACAAGTCCAGGTAGATGTTGTCAGTCACCCTTCCTTTATCCACCAATGCCATAGCCCCATCATAGAAGGCCACCAAAATTTTCAGGCATGATTTGCCCTTGGTGAAGTCATGTTGGCTGTCACCAATCACCCCCTTAATGTCCATTTGCTTTAGATTATTTTCCAGGAGGACCTGCTCCATGATCTTGCTGTGGACTGAGGCAAAACTGACCAGCCTGTAGTTCCCTGGGTCTTCCTTCTTTCCCTTTTTAAAAATGAGGGTTATATTTTCCCTTTTCCTGTCAGCCGGAACTCACCAGACTGTCATGACTTCTAAAATGTGATGGATAATCCTTGGCAACTTCATGTGGCAGTTCTTCAGGACCTGCAGATGCATCTCATCAGGTCCCATGGGCTTGTGCACCTTCATGTTCCTTAGATGATCTTGAACCTGATCTTCTCCTACAGCGGGTGGTTTTTCGTTCCCCTAGTTCCTACTTTTGCCTGCTGCAACTTGGGCAATGTAGCTAGAGCTCTTGCCAGTGAAGACCGAGGCAAAAGAGTCATAGAGCATCTCCTTTCTGATCCCCTTCTGACCCCAGTTTTTCTTATGTGACAGTGGAACACTCTTTTTGGGAAGCTCAGCTTTGGCACTGATACAGGAGGTCAAGAATCTGTGCTGACTGTAGAGCACAAAATGGTCATGGAAGCAAGTACAGAGAGCAATTAATTACTCACTTGGTCTGCAAAAAAGTAAGCCTGGTTGTTAGTGTTGTCAGAGGCAACTTGGAAGTGCA